AATAAAAAAAAATTAACTATCTAACCTATAAAATTGTATTAAAAATTATATAATAAAATTTGTTTCTTAATCATTTTCTCAAAATTTTTTTTGTTAGGTAAATCATTTTTCAAAAAGAAAATAAAAAAAAGGAAACGCACTCTCAAAGGTCAGAATGACGGATTCAATGAGGGTGCAAAGAACAAAAAATTACTGCCAAATTTCCTAGCCCCTTGATTGCTTGGATGAAGATGAGAATGAACCTGTGACTTTTCCAATACATTCTCTCCTTCTAACGTGGGAGTAGGGTAATCGTGGTTCATTTCCCATTGACAAAAATACAAAATATCTCAATTGGCAGACAAATTCTAAAATATCTGCTGGCTCATGGAATTATGGGGCGGTTTCCATCCAACAATTTGACTGAGAACCGTGTTGAATGTTGAATTCCAAGTCCTCCAATGAATGACGAATCCACAGAGACCTTGACTCTTCTTTCTTTATCCCTACCCTACCACACCCTACTCCAATCGGCAACAACCAGCCTCTGCCTCTGCGTATGGCGTCTGTGGAGAAGCTCACAGCTGTGTCCAAATTCATCTTCTTGGTGGCGGTGGTGCTGCTGCAATGGGGAGCCAGCCATGCCCAACAACCTTACGTTAACAACAAGCAGCTGGCCTGCGACGACCAAAGTAATAATAACATCACCAAAGGATTTTACTGCAACGGCCCCAAATCATGCGCCTCCTATATCACCTTCCGCTCCGACCCTACATACAACACTGCCGTCAACATAGGCTTCCTCCTCGGGGCCGACGCCACGCAGATCGTCTCCCTCAACAACTTCTCCTCCGACTTGGCCACCATCCCCTCCGACACGCTGGTGCTTGTCCCCGTCAACTGCTCCTGCTCCGGCAACTACTACCAGCACAACGCCTCCCACATCATTAGGTATGACAACGAAACTTATTTCATCATCTCCAACAACACTTACCAGGGTCTCACCACTTGCCAAGCCATGATGGCTCAGAACTCCTATAACTTCCGGAAACTCCAGGTAAACAATACCCTGCTCGTTCCCCTCCGATGTGCATGTCCGACTTCTCGCCAGAGCGCTGACGGTTTCAAGTACTTGATCTCCTATATGGTCACCTGGGGAGATTCCATTTCTGCAATTGCTGCGAAATTTGGCGCTGATGAGAAAAGCGTATTGGATGCCAACGAGCTCAGTGCTAGTGATATTATATTTCCATTCACGCCCATCCTCGTTCCCCTTACCGCAGAACCCAAAATCATTGAATCGCAGCACACCTCCCCTCCCCCCGCTCCGCCTCCTCCCCCACAGACACCCACCGGAGTTGGAGAATCCAAATCTTCCAAAAAATGGGTGATCGTGGGTGTCGCCGCAGCGGCCAGCTCGGTCCTCCTCCTCAGTCTCTTTGGGTTTCTATTTTGCTTCAACAGACGTCGTTCTCGGAAACCGAAACCACTCCTCGAACCCGGGCCGCCGCAGCCTCCACTCCCGAAATTCTCAGATTCATCAGATTACCCTCTTTCTATATCTTCTCAAGGGATTCGACATGAAATTGAATCCTTGACCCTTTACAAATTCGAGGACATCCAAGCTGCCACCGGAAATTTCTATGAATCAAATAGGATCAAGGGATCTGTTTACCGGGCTTCTTTCAAGGATGATGATGCTGCTGTTAAGGTGATGAAAGGGGATGTATCAACAGAGATCAATCTACTCAAGAGAATCAATCACACCAACATTATCCGCCTCTCCGGATTCTGCCTCCATGAAGGCAGCTCCTACCTTGTATACCAGTATGCAGAGAACGGCTCTGTAAGCGATTGGCTTCAATCAAACAAGAATCAAGCTTCCAATACCCTGTCGTGGCAGCAGAGAGTTAGGATTGCATATGATATATCTGATGCACTCAATTACCTCCATAACTACACAAGCCCTCCCTACATCCACAAGAACTTGAAAACCAGCAACATTCTCCTGGACGGAAACTTCAGAGCCAAGATAGCCAATTTCGGATTAGCTCGAACCTTGGAGAATGCTAATGATGGTGGACTGCAACTCACCAGACATGTAGTTGGGACTCAAGGATATCTGGCTCCAGAGTACATTGAAAATGGTGTGATTACACCAAAGTTGGATGTTTTTGCATTTGGGGTCGTGATGTTAGAGCTTCTGTCCGGACGGGAAGCAGCAGGTGCTGAGAGGAACCGTGAGGGGGAGGTGCTGTCTGCCTCTATAAAAAGGGTGCTTGAAGGGGATAATGTAAGAGGGAAGCTTGAAGGATTCATGGACCCTGCTCTCCAGCATGAATACCCACTGGAGCTGGCCTTCTCCATGGCACAACTGGCTAAAAACTGTGTTGATCATGACCTGAATGCTCGCCCCTCCACCGCTGATGTTTCAAATACACTTTCCAAGATTCTCTCATCTTCCTTGGACTGGGATCCCTCTGATGAGCTTGATAGTTCCACGTCTATGAGCAGCACCAGGTAAATCACTTGGTTTAATTTATCACTTGGATGGAGGTTAAGCCCCAAATGGGAAACAATAAGAAAATAAGAGAAATTTTGCTCTGTAATATATTCTTCAGAATTTCCCCCTGTGATGACTTCTTCCATTCAAAGTACTTTGATGCATAAGGATAAGATAGCAATCTTTCTCCAGTTGAAGTGTAATTTCAATACAATAAAAATTTAGTGATGTCTTGTTGAGCTAAGTGATAGAAATTACAATGGCCAGTATTGCACACGTTTTGGGAGAGTATATGATATAATCTACAGGAGTACAGAATCAGAAAAATGGATTGAACAACTTCGGGAGGGTAAGAGTCAAGATGCCAGCCTTTTAAGAACTTTCCAATATCTTGCACTAGAAGGGTTTGTATGGATTGCTCGACCAACCCATTGCAGTGGGCTCTGACAACATTCAACTCTAGATGAAGAATCAGGCCCGGCTTCCAACTGTCTTGCAAGCAAATGCATTTGAAAGAAAAGTTCTGCATGCCTCATTTCTAGTGGAAAAACATAAAACACATTAGAACTATAATTTACAACATAGCTCTTTATATCAGCAATGAATTTCTTAATCATCATGAACCAAGCCTCTATCAAGCATTCAACTGCGAATATACAAGTCAATAGAACCAATCACCCAGAACCTAGCCTAGCTTAATATACTATCAAATCACCGCCCAACTTCTGTAGTCTAAGAATTTAAATCTGAAAGTGAACAAAATATGAACATCACAAACCCTTATCCCTCAAAGTATCAACATCAAAGACCCTTATCCCTACAAACAGAAAACAAAAACTTTGCAAGACATTGGCACAACATCACAATCATAATTATGTTAACAAAAAAACAACCTTATATTATTTGATCTTGATAATGGAGCATCATTTTGCATCTTAGCTTCTAGAAAAGAAGATCCCAAACCTATCTTGAAATAGCCAAGTATTTTTCTTGAGCTTTATTTGCTAAAGACTAGTCCATCATATGGTCACCAATGCATTCTGATTTAAACGGGTTGTTTATTTATCTCTTTCAGCTCCACATCATTGATTAAATCCTTTTAGCAGTTGATTTTGTTTATCTAGGCACAAACACAACTGTCATAGGTAACAACTAAAAAAACTCACATAAATGTTCGGAGTGCCAAATGCAAGCAATTAAACAAGGTGACTTGGTAACTTCCAAAAAAAGCATGTTTGTTCTTGCAATCCCCATGCTATGAAAAGTGGGTGCTTGGAGAAAACCTGGTGGCCAAGAAATCCATTCAAGACGAAGGTTTTCCTCCCATTTTCCTTTAGAACCAAGGCTTGCTTCTGCTTGGGCTAGCAACAGTGCTACAAGAGGTATTGGAATCAAAGAGGTTGTTTGAGCTTTCTTGAGACTCCTTGCAGCACGTGATAAGAATTCTGAATCATTAAAGTGCCTGGCAAGCTCCATGCATATGGCACCTGCACCATCAAGAATTTACTTGCTATGTAATAAGATAAAATGAAAACGGTAGAAAGATAAAGCGACTAAAAATATAGTATATCAGTTACCATGACACAGAAAAAAACAGCTGTCAGCACCCGCCAATGAACAAGCATGTTGAACAAATTCCTCTGCAGAAGGAAAATCTTGGTTCCATATGCAAATCAAACCCAATACCAAACTAACTACAGCCATCCACATATTCCATGAATTACTGCTTCCTCGGGAGCATTCATTGAGGCTTAATTCAATAGTATTTGATCCAGTGTGCAGGTTGTACTGAGATTCTATGACTTTTAGACACAACCAACCAACATGAAAATCTGTCTTAAGCTCCAAGCATTTTTCATACTCTTGTTGGAGATTCATAAAATTTCCTTCTGCAGCATAGGCACGGCATAGTAGCAAGTGGCCAAAAAAAAGGTAGCTTTCTGGAAGAAACAGTGCTGAAACATTTTTGGCATGGTTGATGCAACCAGCTATATTCCCACCTTGCAAACAGATCTCAGAAGCACAAAGCAAGAGCTGAAATTTCTGATATAGACAAGAGATATCTTTTCCGGAATAGAACCCATTGGAAAGAGACAAAGCTATTAGACGCTCAAGTATCGTACAAAGGTGGACAGGAAATCTCTCTTCACGTGCTCTCTGCAAAAGATTAAGTACAAGCAAGTATCGCACATTATGGTTCCATGGTTCTCTTCGCAAGCATCTGCACATTAGAAACAGGAGGAAGATATTGTTATCAATTAAACAAACAAATTCCAACATCTTAGAATTCAAGTTCAACCACAAGCAATAAACAAAGATATACACGCAAAGTCTTTACAGATTCTTTTATAATCTTTATTTTGAAAAACTGGAAGATAAAATGAGCCCCAAAGAGAGAGGAAGCAAAGCCAAAAATACTTGTCTTGTTATGTACAGAAAATTCAAGAAAGGATAAATATTTCCTGCAGAAAGCTTATAAGAATATGCTGACCCAGTGAAGCTGAAAAATCCACTTAATGTTTCATGATCTATCTATTACAAAAGAAAATATAAACTTAAAAGATAATAGGAAATAGTTAGGATACTTCTGCAACTCTTTGATAGATCCAGATCCATTCGAGCACTGGTAGCTACATGTTGGGAAAGAGAACTTAGGTTCTCTATTGCAAAGTACATAACAAGCAACAGATCCAGCACCAATGATCTCCCATGCAGACTTTAAGCCCTCCTTATAGTCAGAAGCATCAATGATAGAACACCTACTAGAGACATGTGTAGTATTCCAATCTTCACTCAATAGCAGAAGATAACCAAGAAGGTTCCTGTTCCCAGCAAGTCCATGTCAGAAGTATAACAAA